ATAATGGAAAAGAGTTGCTTCTGTGAGCTATATTATTATTCCTCCTCAAAAGAATGCAGAGGAGCAAAGCAGAAAAGGCTAAATACGAGGGTTGAATGAAAGTAATGCCTCCACCTTCGTAACTCCTCAACAGATGGCAGTACTGTTATGCGGCAGGTACTGACTTGTTCAGTAGACTCTCCTCTACAGTTCCATTTTGGCGGGAAGCCTTAGCATTGAACTGTTGTATTGTTAAAGTGCGAAGTATGGAACCCTGCACAGATGGGCGGTCAATGCGACTTAAGCAACATGCAGTCATTGAATTCTTGACAGCAGAAAGTGTCACCCAACAAACAATATAAACATCATGCTAGATATCATTCATAAATTTATGCCAGGAACTACTTCAGTTCATCTTAGTATAGCTGGATAAAAATATTGCTTAGTTTGAGTAGTAAATTGGAGCAGTTAACAATATAATGAATGTCAGGCTTTAAAATTAATAAGGAAAAATTGGTATTTCTAATTTAAAAACCTATCTAAAAGCAGTATTATTAACCTGGAGAAATTAACTAAATATGAGGTAGTGCCAAAAGTAAAATATCTTGAACTATGGCTAGCTCACAAAAATAGAAAATTATATCAAAATAATTATGGCAAAATGTGGAAGGAGATCAAAAGTTGGGAAAGACTTCAGTTTACCTGGTTAGAAAGGATATCAGTGATAAAAATGATGATTTTACCAAAATTTTTGTTTACGTTTCAAAATTTACCAATTATTAAGGGAGTAAAGGTGTTTTAAAAATGGAAGAGGGATCTGGTCAAATTCATTTGGAAAGGCGAAAAAAGCCAGAATTGCCTACAGGAACCTTATTGATGGGAAAGACAGAGGGGCCTGGCATTACAGGCCTCAGATATTACTGTGAATTTTAGTTGGCTAAAGGATTGGATTAAACTGGATACTAAGGAGTTGTTTAAACCAAAGGGCCATAATTTAATATAAGGATGGAATGCCTATCTATGGGATGAAAAGGACAAGGTGAAAACAGAATTTAATGGGCATGTAATAAGAGCTAGTCGTTTAGCAACGTGGAAAACGTACAAGAAGGAGATCGAGCAAAAAAAAACCTTTATGAAACTGACTGTTGTTGTTGTTCATTCGTTCAGTCGTTTCCGGCTCTTCGTGACTTCATGGACCAGCCCACACTGGGTCCAGGCTGGCATGCCCCTCTTCCTTTTTCCTTCCATTTTCCCCAGCATAATTGTCTTCTCTAAACTTTCCTTTCTTCTCATGATGTGGCCAAAGTACTTCATCTTGGCCTCTACTATTCTTCCCTCCAATGAGCAGTCAGGCTTTATTTCTTGAAGTATGGACTGGTTGGGTCTTCTTGCTGTCCAAGGCATAGAAACTGACCACACACACTGAGTCTGGAATGTATAAGGAATATTTTGTCAAAGAGAAAGGGCAATGGAGGGTAGAGAAGAAACTGGGATAAAATGTTGCTTAGACTTAATTTAATGTTTCGTTCATAAAATTGCTTCTCAGGATTCTCAAGTTGCTCCTGATATGAAAAAAACAATAAAATTATGCCTGGGACTATTTCAGTTCATCTTAGTATGACATGATAAAATATTGCTTAGTCTGCCTAGTATGTTGGAGCAGTTAAGAATATAATGAATGTAAGGCCAGTGGTGCCAATTTGAGGGGCACATATTTCTATCCCTTAAGTAGAGAACTTGTTTTCTTCATTAATGTTTTACTCTTCCACTGAGTTCCACACCTTTTTTGTTTCAACAAGTATTTGATAACTACTGATTTACAAAGGACAGGCCTTGTACAGTATACTGAATTTTATATCTTTTATTTTCTTATGCTGCTGTGCTTTTTAAGGTTTGTATTTAATTGGTTTTGATTTCTTGATAATTTAATCACTTTTTAATTTTTATATTTTGTAAATTCTTGACTATTTTTTAAAATAAATCTATTTATAGCTGCCTTGAGTTCCCAGGTGGAGGCATGATAGAAATATAATCATCCCTCTCCTAGGGCCCTTCCACACAGCCCTATATCCCAGAATATCAAGAAAGAAAATCCCACAATATCTGCTTTGAACAGGGTTATCTGAGTCCACACTGCCATATATTTCTGTTCAACACAGAAAATGTGGGATTTTATTCAGCTGTGTGGAAGGGACCCAACATGTGCTTTAAAATTTAGTAAATAAAATGATTCAAAACTATGAGATATAGAAAAAGTTTGGCATCCCATCCCAGTTTAAGGAATAATTCATCTTGGGGCCCATCCAGACAAGGAACTACTGCAATAAAGGAGGGGCTCTCCAGACAACATTCTAATCTGGAAACCCTGGTTTGTAGCAAATTAATTTGATAGTGCAATTATTCTTGGAAGGTGCGGGATAAATGTACTATTCCAGGTCTGGACTGCAGAATTTACTCATTTATTTATTTGTCGTGTCAGGGCAGCCAGTCAATTATATTACATTTCTAACAGAACAAAGCAAACAAACAAACAAAATACAAAATTTGTGAGTTTGGTAGTTGATTAAATGTCCTTTGACCAGTATCTGGCCACTTGGAGTGCTTCTGGCGTTGCTGCAAGAAGGTCCTCCATTGTGCATGTGGCAGGGCTCAGGTTGCATTGTAGCAGGTGGTCAGTGGTTTGCTCCTCTCCACACTCGCATGTCGTGGATTCAACTTTGTAGCCCCATTTCTGAAGGCTGGCTCTGCATCTCGTGGTGCCAGAGCGCAGTCTGTTCAGCGCCTTCCAAGTTGCCCAGTCCTCTGTGTGCCCAGGGGGGAGTCTGCAGAATACTAAATACTAAATAAGCTCAGTATACTGTGGAAATACCCCCAAGCCCTTAGATCCCATAGAAAACTAAGAAAAACATACGTGGTCTCAATTAGAAGCCCCGGTGAGCTCCCTCCGCCCCCTCCCCACTCTCCTTCTGTGTCATTTCTACATGCCGGAAGAGCTAGCCAGGGCTTCTAATGGAGACCACATAAGTTTTTCTTAGTTTTCTAAGGGGCTTGGGGGAGGGGGGGGGCTCCACAAGCTCTCTCAGGCTAGTCCCGTGAGAACATGTGGACAGCCCACCCCAGAAGGCGCACATTTTCTGGGGTGGGTATGGGCAGACCCCCAGAAACATCCACATTTTTTTAACATGGGTGCTTCTGGGACAAGGGCCTGTCTGGATCCAGCCTTAGTTGGTTGTTGCATAGAATAAGGATTCATGTTTGTCTCACATTAGTAAGGATTAAGGATTTAGACCTCAGAAGCAAGATGCAGTGGATCCCTACTATCTGCTAGGTCTTGGTCCCTCCCCTCCATGGATATCAATGTGTGGACACTGCAGTCTTTTTATGTACAATGACACAGTAAAATTGTCTTATTTACATAAAATGGCACAATCAAAGTTTACTTCTTAGAATTTTAATTTTCAATTTTTAACTAGTGGAAAAAAATTAAGGATGTAAATCTTCATTTCTTTGGTTCCTGTATGTTAGAACAACAGAGACAAATTTTGGACAAGATTGCAAGAGTGTTTGCACATTTTAAAAATTTCAAGATATACGGTTGCATTTTGGGAACTTTACAAGAAGATTTTGACCAGCATGCTATTGGTGACATAAGTGTGTGTAAATATAATTTATATATCACTTTTTGTAAGAGTAATATGGACTTTTTACATTCCATCCCATTCCCAGCTTGCCCAGAAGCTTTCAAAACTTGGGAGGAGATGCTGCTGCTATCACTTACTAGTGGTGAAAAGAGAGTAGGGGAGGTAATTCAAAGGAATGGCATTGTGGTCTGTCTTGACTTCAAGGGAAAAGAAATGAGAGTGTAGCATTTTTTTCTCCTATGATTGGAAACCAACACTACTGTATTTTTTTTCTTAGTTAGAAAAAACCACACATAAGCAGTTGACTTAACAGGTGCTGGGGTGGCAGCCATTATGCTCACTCAATGATCTTGACCTTTGTTTGCACAAAAACCAACTAGTTTATGCAAATAAAAACAACATTTTTACATAGCAAAACTTGTATTTTGTGCAAACCGCAATGTATTGCTCATATTTTTTTTGAAAACCCAGTAAGTATTGTTGAGAAAAAAGACCCTCTCCAAATAAAAAATGTGATCACTTCATTCCTGTTCAAGAAGAACAACAAAAATTAACAAAACATGTTTTTGATGGGATGCCTTGATATGTCAAGATACCCTGTCTCAAATTTCATGACTATTCTTTTCATCTGTAGAAGAAATGGTAATTTATCAGTAGACTTATGCATTCTAACTGATTATATAGACTGCATACACACACGAGAGAGAGAGAGAGAGAGAGAGAGGGAATGCATAGTATCATTTATCATTGATGGTATAATAAAGTTTTTATGCATTTTATATTCTTTCCATCACATGTGAGGGGTAGGACAAGGTGCTGTTGTGTTACACTACCCCCCCCCCCCCCCCCCCCCCACCACAACCATATGGGAAAAAGGAGAGGAAAATGCAGGTAGCTCCATTGGAGCGACTTGAAAAACATTTTCCTTCTTATAGTGGCCAAGGAACATCTTGCAATGCTTCCTTGGCATTTGGAGAGTCAATGGGTCAGTGTGTGCTGAACATCATTTGATGGCACTCAGCAGGCCCCATTCCCAAAGTGCTGCAAAGGGGCAATTTGCCCCAATGTGATGAGATGGTATCTCTATATGTGCATATCCACACATGTGCATTTCTGTGAGTCTAAGTGATAGAGGCTTACACAAGATTTTTCCCCAATCCAATTTATGGCCGATATTAAATTTAAACTAGGAAAATTATAAATTCCATCTCATTATCTTAATCTTTCTTTGAATATTTCCTTTTGTATAATGTGTGTCAGGAAGTATTTCCAAAAACTCAAAATAATATTTTTCATTGAAAGAAATTGAAAAGTAGTTTGATGATATTACTTTTGTTTCTGTCTCACTATTGATTCATTAATGTTGTGTTAACTTTGCAGATCTTCTACCTATTGGCTGAATCGCATCCAGTCCTTTCTGTACTGCAATGAGAATGGCCTTTTGGGTAGCTTTTCTGAAGAGACTCATTCATGTACATGCCCTAATGACCAAGTTGCCTGCCTTGGCTCTTTGCCATGCATTGTGGGAGATGGTTCAGCCTGTTTAACATGTGCCCCTGATAACCGTACCCGCTGTGGGGCCTGTAACACTGGGTACATGCTGAGCCAAGGAATCTGCAAGCCTGAAGTAGCAGACTCAACTGAGCACTATATTGGGTTTGAGACTGACCTTCAAGATTTGGAGATGAAGTATTTGCTGCAGAAAACAGATCGCCGGATTGAGGTTCATGCAATCTTCATCAGTAATGATATGCGTCTCAATAGCTGGTTTGACCCTTCCTGGCGAAAACGGATGCTTCTTACTCTTAAGAGTAACAAGTACAAATCTAGTTTGGTCCATATGATGTTGGGTCTCTCTCTTCAAATTTGCCTAACAAAAAACAGCACCTTGGAGCCTGTCTTGGCTGTTTATGTCAACCCTTTTGGAGGTAGCCACTCTGAGAGCTGGTTTATGCCTGTCGATGAAAACAGTTTCCCAGACTGGGAGCGGACTAAACTGGACTTACCACTTCAGTGTTATAACTGGACGCTGACTCTAGGGAACAAGTGGAAGACATTTTTTGAGACTGTCCACATCTACTTGAGGAGTCGTATTAAGACAAATGGTCCCAATGGCAATGAGAGCATCTATTATGAACCCCTGGAGTTTATTGATCCTTCACGGAACCTGGGCTACATGAAAATCAACAACATCCAAGTGTTCGGCTACAGCATGCACTTTGACCCGGAAGCAATCCGGGACTTGATTTTGCAGTTGGACTACCCCTATACTCAGGGATCCCAGGATTCTGCACTCTTGCAACTGCTAGAAATACGGGACCGTGTAAATAAGCTCTCTCCACCTGGCCAACGTCGTCTGGACCTTTTCTCATGCCTGCTGCGTCATAGACTCAAGTTGTCAACCAGTGAGGTGGTGAGGATTCAATCTGCTTTGCAGGCCTTCAATGCCAAATTGCCAAACACAGTGGATTATGACACAACCAAATTATGTAGTTAACCATACGTGTGAAGCACAACAGAAAACAAACCAACCATGAAGGAGTTTTTACAGTGCTTTTGTGGAACAGTTTATGTTTGGAAGAGTAAATTTAAATTGTCTTTTCAATATCTGTCTTATATCAGTCAATAACATTGGATGGCAATCTACACTCATGAACTTGCTGACAAATGAATATATTATAACTGCAATTTTTTTGGCTTTGTTTTATGAATGAAAATAAATACTGACACCAGTCTAGAAGACATTCTACTTTTTACAATAAATTTCATTTGTAATTTTATATGTTCCGTGGCAATGCTTTTGTGCATTACATCCTCTAGAGGGAACATAAAAGGATACCAATAAAATTTTGTAGCTGAACAGTTATTAAAAAGAAATGCTGTGGGATTCATTCTTTTTCCCTCTCTAAAAATGAATAACATTTTTAATATTATATGTTTGATCAGAAATAGGTGGTAGAGAAAATAGAGGAGTATGTTTTTAGGTAAAACCCAGCAAAGAAAAACTAAAAAGCATCTTAACACCCGATTTTTCTTCAACCCCCCAAGGCAAAGTGTCCCCTTTAAAGCAGAATGACATTCCTTACTGGTGGCTTATCTGTACCTTAACTTATGGAACAGGACCTTCTCTTTTTCAAAATGCTGTAGTACATCATGTATATGCTTTAAGTGGAGATGTTTTACACAGAGAGAGACACAGGGAAAAAACTGAATACTGGAGTGGAGTGGAATAACTGGAGTGGAATAAGAACATTTCTCTTAGAGTAGGAAAAGAGAAACTGGAGCATTCTAAAGAAAGACTTTCCTTCCAGAATGAGCCTACATGTCTGATTAGCATGAACACACCGAGAAGCAGTGTGTTCATCTATCATGCTTATGGTGGCACAGTGGGTTAAATCCTTGTGCCGGCAGGACTGAAGACTGACAGGTCACAGGTTTGAATCTGGGAAAAGCGTGGATGAGCTCCCTCTATCAGCTCCAGCTCTTCATGCAGGGAACCTTAGAGAAGCTTCCCACAAGGATGATAAAACATCCAGGCATCCCCTGGGCAACGTCCTTGCAGTTGTGTAACAATTATTTCACACCAGAAGTGACTTGCAGTTTCTCAAGTCCCTCCTGACATGACAAAAAAAATGAACACACTGTAGCTTGGCGGGCAAGCTTGAGAAATTTCAAAGCCAACTTCAAAGTTATGAGCAAGATGGATGTGAAAATCAAGCCTCCTTAGGCCCATTCAAGGCTGTGCCCTTGAAGAGTCAATGTTTAAAGAAATGTTGCACTTCATTAAGCTCATTGTAAACTGAGGAGTATTTGCAGAACTGTAGGTGAGTTTAGTAAATCACACATTATAATGGATAATGAATGGTACAAATGGTACTCTAATGCTATATTTTTTGTTCTATGTGGCAAACCCATGGTGGTGAAATACCTCACAAAGAGGCTTATGGGTAGAGCAGAGCTGACATGAATGTATATGTAATCAAAGGACATGTCTTAAGATGATATTACTTTCAATAATTTATTTCATGTATTTGTGTTAGATTCAGACATTGATCATAGTAGAGAGTTGCCAATTTAGAAACTTAATAAAACAGACAAATCCTGATACAGTTGTGAAATAAATATATAGTATAATCAGGTTGGGGCAAAATTAACATACCCCTTTTCCATTAATTCTTTCCAACATAAAGTCAACTCCATAACAAAATAGGTAAAGGCGTCAATTTCAGATTCTTAAATAATATGACAAGAGGTAGTATGGAATATCTTATAGATATGAGACTATCTATATAGCGTAGTTGTAGTAATTATTTCAACAATCATGGCCTCATTTTATGGAATTCTTGGAATTCTAGTTTTGCAAGGTATTTAGAATTATCTGCTTGATTGTTCCAGTCCATTCCGCTGAACCACAGCCTTAAATTCTCTAGAAAAGAATTTGAAATACCTCACTAAACTATATCTCATTAAACCACATATCTCAATCTATGGTTTGAAAACATGATGATTCAAGTGTCATCAATCTGCTGTAAATAAGTGATTTGGAGATCCTTTTATATACAATGCTATTGTTTCACAGTGATTCATACTCCACTCTACTAGTAATATAGGTGGTAGGAGTGACATATAACTATTTATGGAATGTGGAACTGAGAGGCAATGTATTTACCTCCTTATTTTCTCTTCTGAATAGCTTTAAAATGAAATTTACTTTCTGGGGATAAATGAAATGCTGGCTGCAACACTGGAGTATACATGTATTAAAGCTTAGTTTGCATGTATTAAAGCAGCAGGAGCATTTCCAATCATCCCCTTACATACCTCCCACCTCTAGATAGGAAATAAACTGTTGTGGATGGACATTTTAAAGGCAGGATTCATATGTGCATCACCATATACACAAGCACAGCACACATAAGCACAACCTTTTAGCTATTTCTCTCTATCCATCACATACATAATTTTCTTATGTTGTGACACAGTTTTGGAGAAGGGAGGAGGGAATTTCCCTTCTAGAGGGAAATTCCCTTCTAGATCTCCATGCATCACTCATGACCTCATCACAAAGGGCTAAATTCAGTGGAATGTGCCTGTTTAGCCCAGGTCATCCACGAAACTCACTGGCTCCCATCAAAGGATGCTGGTGGGGCTCTGTGGGTGAAGGAGGACTGAGCTGGCACATGCCGCCACTGTGGCAACATGGGAGGCTTCCCTGTGTTGCCATTGGAATCCATGGGGGGGAAGCCATGTGATCAATGCTTCTCTATGGGATCACCCTTAGCTGGAGCTGGGTGATGCAGGGCATGGGGTGCCAGCTTCCCCATGCCCCCTGACAATGTGGATTGATGCCGGCAGTTGTGTGACAAAGTCATTAGATGCAAAAAAAGAGCCCTTAGAAGTCCCTCAGCTTAGTTAGGAGTCTTTTCTAAAACTTTACAGCCAGGAGAGATGGTAATGGAGGAGACGATTGCACTGCCATCCTTCCTGTGTCGGCCGCTTGAGCCTGTGGAGGCAGGATCACTGTGGAGACTGCTTCTGAGGACACAGATAACCATTTCAGAAGCAGTCCCCATAGGCCCCATACTGCCAAAGATACAGACCTTACTGAAAAATTTAGATCTTTGGCGATTTTTTTTTAAAAAAAGGAAATAAAACTGGATTTCCAAGGTTATTCTGAGTTAATGTTCATTATCATGAGGTGTAGTTGGCACACCATGATAATGTTCCTACACCACATTGTAGTTCAGTGGCCCTAGTGGCTGTTTTAGGGAGGAGAAGAAATCAAATAAGACAAAACAGCATTTCCATATTACCTGTACAGAAGGTAAGTCTGGGTTTTTGGTACAGTGATAAAGTGTCTACATTAACTTTTATGAACATGGGAAATATAACAGATCGGTTGAGAGGATGGAGTAGATTTTCTTTTGATCCAGTAGGTAACTATGGAATGCCACAGCTTGGATCATGCACATCCACAAACCTTTTTTTTTTTTGCCCATACCCATTCAACTCTCACTTTTATCAGTTTTGATACCTGAAGTCCAACTTTGAACAAGTGCCAAAACTACCCACAACCACCAATAGGGTATGTATAAAGATGAATCTCCATCTTTGAACTTGGTCTTCTCTCTGTTCTGACAGAAACTCCTATGGTGACTGAATATCCACAAACAACTATAGGAATCGTACCTTCAGTTATCATATGGAAATTAATAATGGCAAATATTATGTAAGATTACTCATAAGTGACTGTGATTTACAATGTGCTCTCCTGTTGATTTTTTTTATCATGTCAGGAGCGACTTGAGAAACTGCAAGTCGCTTCTGGTGTGAGATAATTGGCCGTCTACAAGGACATTGCCCAGGGGATGCCAGGATGTTTTGATGTTTTATCATCCTTGTGGGAGGCTTCTCTCATGTCCCCACATGAGGAGCTGGAGCTGATAGAGGGAGTTCATCCGCGCTCTCCCTGGATTTGAACCTGTGACCTGTTGGTCTTCAGTCCTGCTGGCACAGGGGTTTAACCCACTGCGCCACTGGGGGCACCTCTCCTGTTGATAGGCCATTCAGAGTTACTCAACAAGAGGTAAGAATTGCTATCTACCATCTATATATCATCTATTAGCTATCTAGTAGGCCTGGGTAACAACGCAAAAATTTGTTTCTAAAATCGATTTGTATTTGGGGGTTTTTTTTGTTCGATATTTAAAATAATTACAAAATTTTCCTTTTTAAAAGTTCGGTATTTACGAAATTTCGTTATTATTAACGAATCAATTCGTTAAAATGGCGGACGCGGTTGCGCAACATGAAAATATTAGTTTTAAATAATAGTTTTAATAATAATCGTTTTTAATAATAGTTTTAGTCCGCCCCCTCTCTATCCCTCCCTCCCTCTCCCTCCCTACCAACCGGGCGGTCGCCTCCGTCTCGTTGCTGCGCCTCCTCCTGCGTTTCCTTTTCCCGGCGGGGGAGGCGATCGGGGGAGTCAGCAACCGCAGCGTCGTCGGCCTTGCCGCTGCTGCTGGGCGGGGGTCTTTCCCAGGGCGGCGGATGCCAGGGCCCCGCTGAGCGGGCACGCCGGACCACCCCTGCGCCGGGCCGGGCATGTGTGGGGTGTGCATGCCCAGGTGAGCCGGGAAAAGGGGGAAGAAGGGGGCGGGGGGAGCCAGGGGAGCGAGGGGAGGAAGCCAGGCCGGGAAGGGAGCTTGCTCGCTCAGTCTCTCTCTCTCGACCTGCCTTCCCTTCTCCTTGCCCCTGCTCGGGCCCCTTTGCAGCCAGGAGCTGAAATAATAACGAAACAATTACAAAACAATTACGAAATATTTAAAAATTCGTTTCATTTTTTAGTTGCTCCTGGATGGTTTGTTATCGCTTCGTATTCAAGAAAAATAACGAATTATTAACGAATTACGAAATTAACGAACGAAACCGCCCAGCCCTACCATCTAGCTATCTGTCATCTTTCTCCCTCTCCCCCTCCCTCCATTTTGAATTGTTCTGCATTGTAATAGAAAATCATGTATGAAAAGAATTAAAAACAGATTTGTTGTTCATTCGTTCAGTCGTTTCCGACTCTTCGTGACCTCATGGGCCAGCCCATGCCAGAGCTCCCTGTCAGCCATCACTACTCCCAGTTCCGTCAAGGTGAAGCCAGTCACTTCAAGGATGCCATCCATCCATCTTCATCATCATCATCCTCATCATCATCATCATCATCATTATCATCTTTAATTACTTATTAATCGCCCTCCATCCGAGATGTTCCAGGCGATTTACATAGCAGAAATTATACAAGATAAAATACATACATACAAATATTAAAATTAACATGGGTCAAATGCTCTAGTAAAAAGCCAGGTCTTAAGTGCTAGGATAAAATGCCCTAAGT